GTCCCTAGTCAATTAAAGGTTGGGAACCACTGAGTTAGAGTAACTTTGACATCTCCCATTCATAAAGAACATTAACAAAATCCATAAATAATAGCATAGCCCAACCCCCCCAAAAATTCTTGGTGTCTTTGATTTTAGGCCTGTTTCTGGGATTATTTGGTGTGCTGATTCAGAAAATTGCATTGGATAGACCACATCAGCTCTAGATTATTAAATATGGTTTTCTATGGGTGAGCAGATGACGACTAATGGATGGCATATGTACTGTATCAGAAACTAGATCTGATGTGGTCTATCCAATGCAATTTTCTGAATCAGCACCCCAAACAACCAAACTGAACCTAAAGTTGACCAAAAACTGATTCGTAACCCTAACGTTGGAGAGTGGCCCCTGGTCAAAGTGGTCCCTGATTTTTAAAAAAAGTTGGGAACCACTAGTGTAATGTGTCTGATGTAAACTGTTTGCATTGTTTTTCTTGGGCATTGAATGTTTGCCATATTTGTTAGAAACCGCCCTGAATCCCTTCGGGGAAATAGGGCCGTCTATAAATAAAGTTTACTGTTAGAGTCTCGCTTATCCAACCTTCTCTCATCCAACGTTTTGTATTATCCAATGCAGTCTGCCTCCCGCCCGGATCCACAGCTGTTTCAATACATTGCGATGGTTTGGTGCTAAATTCGTAAATACAATAACTACTCCATAACGCTACCATATATTGAACTGCTGGTTCTGTTGAATGGTTGTCATACATGAAGTTTTGGTGCTTAATTTGTAAATCCAACACAATTTGACGTTCAATAGGCTTTTCCTTAATCCCTCCTAATAATCCAACATTTTTGCTTATCCAATGTTGGATTAGTGAGACTCTACTGTATTATGGTTTCCTCTCTTAAACAAGACTCAATACATTTAACAGAGCTATCTTTTTGCTTGAGTAAAAACGCTTCCATGCTACAACCCAAAAAGAACTGTGAAGTGTAAATAACTATAAAATACGTTCTTGGGTAGGGAAAGAAGTTGCCACAGAAATACAGTATCACTCTTGCTGCCCCTTGAGCTCTCAAAGCATCAATCCCCTAAGTTGGACACCACTGGACTTAATGTCAGAGGAAACCTTTACCTTTACTAATGTTGTTTTATATTGTGTAATGTGTCTTGTCCTGATGTAAACTGTTTGTATGGCTTTTCTTTGGGCACTGAATGTTTGCCATATTTGTTGGAAACCACCCTGAGTTCCTTCGGAGAGATAGGGTGATCTACAAATAACGATAATTATTATTGTTGTTGTTAATATTATGGTTTCCTCCCTTAAACAAGACCCAATACATTCAACAGGGCTATCTCTTTGCTTGAATAAAAATGCACCCATGCTGCAACCCAGTCTTTTTAAAAGATCTGTGAAGTGTAAATAACTGTAAAATTCGTTCTTGGGCAGGGAAAGAAGATGCCACAGAAATACAGTTATCACTCTCGCTGCCCCTTGAGCTCTCAGAGCACCACCCCCCAGAGTCAGACACCACTGGACTTAATGTCAGAGGAAACCTTTACCTTTACTTATGTTGTTTTATATTGGCTAACGTATCTTGTCCTGATGTAAACCGTTTGTATGGCTTTTCTTTGGGCACTGAATGTTTGCCATATTTGTTGGAAACTGCCCTGAGTTCCTTCGGGGAAATAAAGATGATGATTGGGTTGTTTTTTTCGGGCTATATGGCTATGGTCTAGAGCAGGGATCCTCAAACTAAGGCCTAGGGGCCGGATATGGCCCTCCGAGGTCATTTACCCGGCCCTCACTCAGGGTCAACTTAAGTCTGAAATGACTTAAAAGCACACAACAACAACAATCCTATCTCATCAACCAAAAGCAGGCCCATACTTCCCAATAAAATGCGAATAAGTTTATATTTGTTAAAATTGTTATTTAGTTTAATTATTGTAATGTTTTAAAGTGTTTTTTGCACTACAAATAAGATATGTTCAGTGTGCATAGGAATTCATTCATTTTTTTTTTCAAAATATAATCCAGCCCTCCAACAGTTTGAGGGACTGTGACCTGGCCCTCTATTTAAAAAGTTTGAGGACCCCTGTTCTAGAGGGATTCTCTCCTGATGTTTTGCCTGCATCTATGGCAAGCGTCCTCAGAGGTTGTGAGGTCTATTAGACCCAATTTTCCTAGTTCCAACAGACCTCACAACCTCTGAGGATGCTTGCCATAGATGCAGGTGAAATGTCAGGGGAGAATGCTTCTAGAACATGGCCATATAGCCCGAAAAAAACCTACAACAATCCTGTGATTCCGGCCATGAAAGCCTTCGACAATACAAAGATGATGATGATGATTGTTGTTAATATCATGGTTTCTTCCCTTAAACAAGACCCAATACATTCAACAGAGTTATCTCTTTGCTTGAATAAAAACTCACCCATGCTGCAACCCAGTCTTTAAAAAGATCTGTGAAGTGTAAATAACTGTAAAATTCGTTCTTGGGCAGGGAAAGTCTGACACCACTGGACTTAATGTCAGAAGAAACCTTTACCTTTACTTATGTTATTTTATATTGTCTAATGTGTCTTGTCCTGATGTAAACTGTTTGTATGGCTTTTCTTTGGGCACTGAATGTTTGCCATACTTGTTGGAAACCACCCTCAGTTCCTTCGGGGAGATAGAGTGGTCTACAAATAAAGATTGTTGTTGTTGTTAATATTAAACAAGATATTTGTTTAATATTTGTTTACTCCGGAACCCCGGAGTAAACAGACAAACTAGAGTTGGAAACTGACCCAGGAATGGCCAAGACAATGTAACGGATGAAGATTTGAACAGAGGACATAGTTTCTTTTTAAATTGTTATTATGCAGTGTTGTTTATGTTTAATTGTACTTAATGTTTTTGCTTTATCAATGTATGTATTTTGTTTCGGCATCGAATTGTGCCGACTGTGTATACCGCCCTGAGTCGCCTTCGGGCTGAAATGGGCGGGATAGAAATAATGTAAATAATAATAATAAGACCTCCCTTAAACAAGACCAAATACATTCAACAGAGCTATCTCCTTGCTTGAATAAAAACGCACCCATGCTACAATCTCAAAAGATCTGTGAAGTGTAAATAACTGTAAAATACGTTCTTGAGCAAGGCAAGAAGATGCCACAGAAAAAGTTATCACTCTCACTGCCCCTTGAGCTCTCAGAGCACCCCCCCCCCCCAAAGAGTCTGACACCACTGGACTTAATGTCAGAAGAAACCTTTACCTTTATTTATGTTGTTTTATATTGTCTAATGTGTCTTGTCCTGATGTAAACTGTTTGTATGGCTTTTCTTTGGGCACTGAATGTTTGCCATATTTGTTGGAAACCGCCCTGAGTCCCTTTGGGGAGATAGGGTGGTCTACAAATAACAATGATTATTATTGTTATTGTTAATATTATGGTTTCCTCCCTTAAACAAGACCCAATAAATTCCAACAGACCTATCTCTTTCATTGAATAAAAACGCACCCATGCTGCAACCCAGTATTTAAAAAGATCTGTGAAGTGTAAATAACTGTAAAATACATTCTTGGGCAGGGAAAGAAGATGCCACTGAAATACAGTTATCACTCTCACTGCCCCTTGAGCTCTCAGAGCACCCCCCCCCCCTCAGAGTCTGACACCACTGGACTTAATGTCAGAAGAAACCTTTACTTATATTGTTTTATATCAGGGATTTGAGGATCCCTTCTAGAGGCATTTCTCCTGACGTTTCGCCTGCATCCATGGCAAGCATCCTCAGAGGTTGTGAGGTCTGTTGGAACTAGGAAAATTGGGTCCAACAGACCTCACAACCTCTGAAGATGCTTGCCATAGATGCAGGCCAAATCAGGAGAGAATGCCTCTAGAACATGGCCATATAGCCCAAAAAAACCTACAACAACCCAGTGATTCCGGCCATGAAAGCCTTCGACAATACATTTGCTATACTTGTATACCGCTGTTTCTCAGCCTAGCCGGCGACTCAACGCGGTTTACAACAAAATATAACAATCGACAGTATACAGTTTAAAAGCATAAAAACATAGTGCACAATACATATATCAACAAACAATCCAATTAATCTCCTGACTAAAATCGTAATCCAGTTTCGTCGTCCATATTGCCAGTCCTTTAATCATTACATTCCTTGCACAATACAAAGATGATGATTATTATTGTTGTTAATATCATGGTTTCCTCCCTTAAACAAGACCCAATACATTCAACAGGGCTATCTCTTTGCTTGAATAAAAACTCACCCATGCTGCAACCCAGTCTTTAAAAAATTGTGAAGTGTAAATAACTGTAAAATACGTTCTTGAGCAAGGAAAGAAGTTGCCACAGAAATACAGTTATCACTCTCATTGCTCCTTGAGCTCCCAAAGCAGAAAACGACCAAAAAAAACCTGGTGATGATGGAAAAACAGGTGTTGGGAGGCAAGAGGGATTACTGGGGGAGAAGAGAGATTTTAAACCCAGTCGCATTTAAGAGGGGGGGGGCGTCTCTGGGGCAGCTCAACACTTTATCCTCCTCACCCCACCCCACCCCCACCGCCCTTCCAGCTGCTGGGAAAACAATAGTGCGAGGAGACGGTTAGTCAGACAGGGAATGACTCTGAAAAGCCTGGCCTGCTACATCAATGAGCGAAGAGAGAGAGCGAGCGCGCGCGCGGCCGTTGGTTTGCCCTCAAAAGAGCCGCGCGCGCAAAAGGCCGCCTCTCTTCTTCTTTTTTCAAGGCCTAGTCAAAAGCCGCGCCAAGAAATAAGTGGGTTTAATGCATTCAGGGACCAACTTTGGGCCTGAGGGTGTTTTGGACTTCAACTTCCACGATTCCCAACAGCCTCAGGCCCCTTCCTTTTCCCCCTCAGCCGCTTAAGCGGCTGAGGGGGAAAAGGAAAGGGCCTGAGGCTGTTAGGAATGGTGGGAGTTGAAGTCCAAAACACCTCAGGCCGGGCCGAAGTTGCCCCAGGCCTGGTTCAGACTCACTCGTAATCCCGGAAGACTTCGTTGGTGACCCTGCAGTGGAAGACGTGCTCGCCGGGTGCCAAATCCGCGGGCGGCTTCTCCCTCACGAAGGGCTTTCGGTGAAGCAGCGGCATCGCTAGAGAAGAGAAGGGAAGGCGTTCAGGTTCCTTGTCCGCCTGAGTGAAGAAGAAGGCCCTTCCTAGTGTGTGTGAAGCAGCCTGACACGAGAGAGAGTTCGCTCCCGCACTTCCTTCTTTCCTCCTCCCACGCGAGAAGGCCGCCTCACAATGGGGACATGACGCGGAACAGCAGGAGGAGGAGGAGGAGGAGGCTCGCTCACTCACCCACTCTCTCTCTCCTTCTCCTCGTGTTCCTGGGGATTTCCCTACTCCTTCCCCGTCTCGAAGGCCACGCTTTGGTCACTGGCACCTCCTCCTTCTTTTCCTGACCTCCTTTTCCCTCTTTGCCGCCGCCTCCTTCCTCCTCCTCCTCTAAAAACCCGGGAAGGAAAGAAGCTCTGACTCTTCTCCTCCTCTTTGCCGCCTCCTCCTCTCTGTCAGGACTCTCCTCCTCCTTCTTCTTCCATTTGCCCCCTCTCCCTCCTCCTCTCTGTCAAGACTCTCCTCCTTCTCCTTCTTCCCTTTGCCTCCTCTTCCTCCTCTCTGTCAGGACGCTTCTTCCTTTTGCCTCCTCTCCCTCCTCCTCCTCTCTGTCAGGACTCTCCTCCCTATTGCCTCCTCTTCCTTCTCATCTCTATCAGGACTCTCCTCCTTCACCTTCTTCCCTTTGCCTCCTCTTCCTCCTCCTCTCTGTCAGGAGTCTCCTTCCCTTTGCCTCCTCTCCTCCTCCTCCTCCTTCTTCCCTTTGCCCCCTCTTCCTCTCTATCAGGACTCTTCTTCTTCTTCCCTTTGCCTCCTCTCCCTCCTCTCTATCAGGACTCTTCTCCTTCTTCTTCCCTTTGCCTCCTCTCCCTCCTCTCTGTCAGGACTCTCCTCCTTCTTCTCCTTCCCTTTGCCTCCTCCTCTCTATCAGGATTCTTCTTTTTTCCTTTGACTCCTCTCCCTCCTCTCTGTCAGGACTCTCCTCCTTCTTCTCCTTCTTCCCTTTGCCTCCTCCCCCTCCTCCCAGGGGCGGCTCAACCCATTACGCAAAGTAAGCATTTGCAGTATAGTTGATTTTGCCCAGGGGCGCTCTTGAGGCGCCCTTGGGGGAAAATAGACCTTGACATATGCGAGTTGTAGTTACTGGGATGTATAGTTCACCTACAATCAAAGAGCATTCTGAACTCCACCAATGATGGAATTGAACCAAATATGGCACACAGAACTCCCACGACGAACAGGAAATATATATCAGTGATTGGTGGGGGGCGCCAAAATACTGTTTGCTTACCACAGAAAATTACCTAGGGCCGCCTCCTCCTCTCTGTCAGGACTCTCCTCCTTCTTCCCTTTGCCTCCTCTTCCTCTCTATCAGGACTCTTCTTCTTTGTCCCTTTACCTCCTCTTCCTCTCTATCAGGACTCTCCTCCTCCTCCTCCTCCTCCTCCTCCTCTCTGTCAGGACTCTCCTCCTCTTAATTCCCTTCTCCTTCCCTCCTTTTGATGCCTGTCTAATGAGGGGTCTCCCCTCCAGCTGGGATTGCTCTTGTCTCTGCCTGGAGGAGACTGAGCGCTCTTTGACACAGACCTTTCCTCGCCTGCTTGACTAATAATGAGATAACATAGGCTTGACACCGACTTCTCCGTCCAGTCCCCTCTTACCTGGATTTGTGACACAGATTGTGCCTCCCTTTCTTTTTATCAACGAGCCCCCGCTTCTAAAAACAGAGTTTCTTCTCTTCCCCTCTCCACGCTTTTCTCTTTCTCTTCTTGTCTTTGGGAAGTTTTTCGATGGGCTCCTTCTCCGGCTCTCAACGAGGAAGCGCGGCTGGGAGGAGCTTTCGACTTCTTCTTTCCTTCCCTCCCTCTCTACTACATCTTTATTGGCCAGGCAGACGCCGCCTTTCCAGCTTGTGACACACACACACACACAGCACACAGGAAGACAGGCGGAGAAAGAGAGAGAGGCATTATTAATTAATGGATGAGGCGCTCATCCTCCATTTTTGAAGTGGCAGCCCAGAAGAGAAGTGCTTGCTGTGCTGTGTTGCCTTCTCTTATGAAAGAGTCTGCATCCCACTCAGATAACCCAGTTCAAAGCAGATATTATGGGATTTTTCTGCCTTGATATTCTAAGATGAAGGGATGTGTGGAAGGGCACAAGTTACAAGGAGACCAAGGCTTGGTGCAGACTCCAATCCCAGAATATCAAAGCAGAAAATCCCACTCAGATAACCCAGTTCAAAGCAGATATTATGGGATTTTTCTGCCTTGATATTCTGGGATATAGGGATGTGTGGATGGGCCCCTAGGCCCCTTCCACACAGCAGAATAAAATTCCACATCTGTTTTGAACTGGAATATATGGCAGTGTGGACTCAGACAGCCCAGTTCAAAGCAGTTATTGTGGGGTTTTCTGCCAGAATATCATGGCAGAAATCCCCACAATATCTGCTTTTTGAACTGGGTTATCTGGGGGCCCTTCCGTACAGCCCTATATCCCAGAATATCAAGGCAGAAACCCCACATACCTGCTTTGGACTGGGGTATTTAAGTCCACACTTGGATAATATGGGAATTTCTGCCTTGATGTTCTGGGTTATATGGCTGTGTGGAAGAGCCCTGAGTCCACACTGCTATATATCCCAGTTCAAAGCAGATAATGTGGGATTTTATTAAGCTACGTGGAAGGGGCCTTAGAGTCCAAAACTCAGACCACTACACCACTGTCTTCACTAATGGTGACGTCATTAATTTCATAAGATTTTCTTAAGCAGCATTATTCCCAATTTTAACTTTACATTTGACCTTCCCACTGTTTTTAATTGTGTGTTGTCTTATTGCTAATGTTGTATATTTTATTGTCTAAGTTTTTATTTTAATTGCTTGTACTGTTGTATTCGGGCTCGGCCTCATGTAAGCCACACCGAGTCCCTTGGGGAGATGGTAGCGGGGTATAAATAAAGTATTATTATTATTATTATTATTATTATTATTATTAAGCAAAGAATACTCAGAGGTTGTTTGGCACGTTCCTTTTTGTTAAATATAGTCTACAGTACCTGGTATTCAGTCTCCCAAGTATTAACAAAGTCTGACCTTGCTTAGCTTCCAAGGTCAAACAGGATCCAGTGCCTTAAGGGCAGGCCTGCCCTCCAGGTGTCTGGGGCTTCAACTGTCAGAAGCCCTAGCCAGCTTGTTCAGTGGTCAAGAATTCTGGGAATTGAAACCTAAAACACCTGGACAGCTACAGGTTGTGCAGGTCTGCTTTAAGGTATTCATGCCCTAAAGGAACGCCTACTAAAAGGCTATTCAAGAACTTAGCAAAAGAACTCTTGTCCTTCAATTAGAACAATAGCATGGCACAGTATAGTATCCCAATATTTAAGTAGTGATTAAACTAAATGTCAATGAAGAAGGCACATTATTTTTATTGTGCTATTGAAATCATGAAATATCTAATAAATAAACCCACAATGATAGCAGTCATCTCAGAGATTAAGATCGTCTGGGGAGGCCCTGCTCTCAGTCCCACCTCATTTGCAGATGCAGTTGGTGGGGATGAGGGACAGGGGCTTCTCAGTGGTGGCCCCTTGGCTATGGAACCCCTTCCCAGCAAAAGGTTAGCCCCCTCCCTCCTGACCTTCAGGAAGCAAGTAAAAGCTTGACTCTGAGACCAAGCCTTTGGCCCATAGCACTGTGCAATAAGTGAAGTAGAATTTTGTGAAATAATAACCAGAATGGCCTTGACTATGTCTTCAGATCACGTTATTTTAAAATGTGTTTTTAATGTTTATATTGCTTTTAATTTTGGCTTAAATTTACATGTCTGATTTCTATTGTCTGTTGATGGCATTGAATTGGTGCCGACTGTAAAGCCGCTCTGAGTCCCCTTTGGGATTGAGAAGGGCAGGATATAAATATAGTAAATAAATAAATAAATAACAGAGTTTTATATCACTTGACTTGTCTATTTGGTATCACTATTCAAAGGATATATACCTCCGCACTTTAGTGTTATTGTTTTTAAAGCAATCAAGTAAACCAAACAAGCAAACAGTGAGATCAAATAATGGTGATATGAATGGGAAATCTAACCAGGATGGGTGTGGCACTGTTGTTAACATGAAAGGAAGATCTAATCAGGGTGGTTATGGCCCTGTTCACTAAGGCCCCTTCCACAAAGCTGTATAAAATCCTACATTATCTGCTTTGAACTGGGTTATATGGCTGTGTGGACTCAGATAACCCAGTTCAAAGCAGATATTGTGGATTATCTGTCTACATATTCTGGGTTATATGGCTGTGTGGAAGGGCCCTAAGATTACTTTGTATGTCTGACCAAATGGATTGAAGACACTTAAAGCTTATGGCACAACATATTTATATGTATGTGTAGTTATATACATAAACACATACACACAGATCTCCCTCTACATTTATAGACAGGAAAAACAAATAATGGTTGTTTTAGCAGCAACATACATCTCTCACATTGCCCTTCATTGTTGTTCATTCGTTCAGTCGTTTATGACTCTTCGTGACCTCATGGACCAGTCCACGCCAGAGCTCCCTGTCGGTCGTCACCACCCCCAGCTCCTTCAAGGTCAATCCAGTCACTTCAAGGATACCATCCATCCGTCTTGCCCTTGGTCAGCCCCTCTTCCTTTTTCCTACCTTTTTCACCAGCATCATTGTCTTCTCTAAGCTTTCCTTTCTTCTCATGATGTGGCCAAAGTACTTCATCTTGGCCTCTATTATTCTTCCCTCCAATGAGCAGTCAGGCTTTATTTCTTGAAGTATGGACTGGTTGGATCTTCTTGCTTCACATTACACTAGCAGAATTCAAATTAAGTATTACTGTTTCTGCCAACTGACATGTGGCTATTACTTGAAACATGTGGGTGCAAATATCTTTTACTTGTACATACACACATATAAGTCTCTAAATCTTAATTAAAAATCTACCCAAAAAACATGGGCCAACATATCCATGAATTAATGGAAGTGTACTATAACTTAACTCCGATAAAAAAAGGAAAATCCCCTTTCTGAATGGAGTAGCTAAAAGTGACAGTTTTGTCCATCTTGGAAGAACCTTAAAGAAACACCCATCCTATCTACTCATTTCACTATAGTATTTTAAATGCCTTTCTGAATGCTCAGGTGGGAAAAAGGCAGCAGTAACCATGGACAGAATGGCCCATGACTTATCTGCGATTTGTGTCAAAATACATAATGTTTACTCCCAAGCCTGCCCTTGAATTCTACATGAGGCCTATTCTACATGAGTATATAAACATTTTCTCCCATGATAAACCAGGCACATGTCCTGCCCAATGTACAGTAGAGCAAAACATCCCTGAAGCAAAAATATGTATATAAGAGGTTCCAAACAAGTCTAAAGCATCATATGGGAATGCCAAATGTCCTTTTCTCACCCCTCTGGTATGGAGAAAAAAATTGAAATAAAGTTAGTTCACATTCATATATATTTCTTATTTTGATAATGTTCTGATGTGAAGCATGTGGAGTCAAGGCCTCCTTCACTGAGAATCCCATACTCTCAGTTTAACCAAGCAGAGCATATACATTACTCCCACCAACCCAATAATCCCATTTTTAAAGAAACTCAGCATGTAGGATTTAAATGTCCTAGCACCTGCATCAGGATTCTTTTTATGTATGTATATGCCACATTTCCCCTATCCCTGGGACTTAA